AGAAAAGTAGGTGACAATTAATTTTTTAAAAGAAAACAAACGTGAAATATAAAATGTACTAAGAACATTGTTTAAAAGAAGCCATATAAATCTCTATTACGAAAACGTTTAGTATTGTGGATCAATGGTTGAAAAGATCTTTTTTATATAGATGAATGAAAAGTACTCGAGAAGTTTAGGTTTGATCTAAAAATTAAAACAATTTTGCAAATATTGGAAAATTAAATATTTGATTCCTAATATATTCGATTTTGTATTATCAACTGAATAACGTCTATATGCATGGTGGGATTTATGAATGAGGAAAGCTAATTAAAGATATTTCCATTTGTTTTAGAAAGTTTGTTGAATAATATCTAAACGAAACAAAAAAAATCTTTTAAAGATATTTTATGAGAAATAATATATTCGCCAATTTGGGTTGGGGATCAAGTATATGAAAATCTCGTAAATATTATATGTTATATTTATTACATATACTAATTTTCACATTGTAGTTATTTAAATCAAAGAATTTAATGAGTTAATTATGGAATACAAAATATCTATGTAAATCAAAAAGTTTAAAGAACCAATAGCGCTGGAATTGATTTTTTTGCTATAACGATTACTAAAACATTTAAGTAAATAAAGATATTTCGTTATGATTTTTCAGCATATTCGAATTGTTGATTATTTCGAAATTTAAGGATGTTTAAGAAATCATGATTGATTTCCGATTTCATAAATTTTGATTAGAATTAAAAATAAAAGATTTAGTATTTAGATAAAGAATATACTATAATAAGGATTATTAGTACTCGAATATATTAGGAATATTCGTATTGTTCGTTTATTTAATTCAAAAATTATAATTTGCGGATTTAAATGAAGATCTTCTCGAGATTTTAGGCATATAATCGAGATTTTAGTAACAAACTGTGATCACATTAAATTTTCGAAAGATTTGTGTCGAAATTGTTAGAAACAAATTAGGATAGATAATGTTTGGTTAGTATCTTTTTAATATTTTCAAATCTTTAGAATTAAACTCATTGACATTATATTGTTGAATTTATTTTTTAAAAATGACGTAATATTAAATAAAAAAATAAATAACTAACTATTTTCATTTGATGGTGTAGACAAATTATTATTACTATTTATGTAATTTAATTACAAATAACAAATATTAACTTTTATAACAAAACAAATTATTTTCGTAATAACAATTTTTTCCCAAATCAATCTTTTACAAAATATTTATTTTAATCACATATTCTTTCTATATAGAAATAAATAGTTAAATAATTATGGTTAGAAGTAGTTAAGGTAAATAACAAATATGGTTAGTTTAGATATATTATATATATTTCTAATTTAGGTGTTAATTAAGAATTAATGTCGTTTTTATTACAAACTTTCTTAAATTTCTTATTCTAGATCCGAATAGAGTTAAACCCGGATCCAAAAGACTTTTTTCAAAAATCCCCTGTAAAAATGTATATGTAGATATTATCTTTATAAAAATGGTAGCAACATAAATCATATAAAGTACTTTTTATCATCCATCCTTCTTTTCTACCACCTACAAACCTATCATTACATTGTTTAATTTGGAGCAAACGTATGTAATTTTTTAATTGAGTAGACAGTAGTGCGTGTTACAAATCGACTTGAAAAATAAATTTTATAAAAAAAAATTGAATTACTATTAAGATCTGAATTTTAAAGAAGTTTGTTTTTTTCCTAGATCCATAAAATTTTTCTTATTATTGAAAACATGTACGGATGGCTAAACTACGAAATATAATTTTTTTTTTTTTGAGATTTTTAAAAAGAATCGATCTCTAGCCTAGATTCATAGAAAGATTTCACATACCAAACGAGAGTCACTAACCCACCCTAGTTTAAACTAAAAGAATTTGCAACAGGAAAAACTTGATCGCTCGAAAAATCTTTGTCGAAGTCTGCAAATGTTCTTTTAGAACTAAAATAAAGACGTCGACGTTTTGAAAACCATCTTTATTACATTGTAAAGATTTTCTGCCTCCGACGCTTTGATATTTGAGGATCCTTGCCCATCCATATTAATTTTTAATACATTGTTTTCTACATATTATTGTTTATTAAAAATAATGTTATTCGAAAGTTACTCTTTCACAAAGTATTTTTCTTTTTACCAACATTGATCACTAAATTTGTTTTAACAAGATCGAACTGGTTAAATTTGACATACATAATGGCTTTTTAATTTCTTTATTCGTTTTATTCTTTAATAATACTTTAGATGGTCAAAAACTCTCGTGGTAAAGTTTTACGAGTCAAAATGATTATATTGTATTAGCTAGTTTCCGTGGTAGAAAAATGGATAGTATAATATCTAAAGTTTTACGAGTCAAAATGATTATATTGTATTAGCTAAACTTTGTTTCAAAAAGGATACCGGACTTTTTAGGTTGAAAATGAAAACAAATAAAGTGAAAGGCAAAGCTTTTTAATACGTATTAAATTTCATGAGTCACAGAGAAGTCTTCTCAGTGTAATTGTCAAGAATCGAAATGGTAAAGTTCCCGAATCTATTGGCTCTTTGTCGCTTAGCTTTAACCCAATTACACCGACACGGTTGTAAATCTTCTGACGTATGTTACGAGGCTTCGTGTGTTTTGAATATTTGCAAATCTTTCATCGTTTACCATCAATATATTTCAAACCTTGCATGGTGAAACCGTCCAAGAAGACTTTGTTCAACGACTGATTCGTTATTTTATGGAAAAAACATAAAATAGAATTGACTCCCAATTCATTATCTTTTACAAATATATATATATACACATATATATATATAAATGAGTTTATAATTACTAACATATCTTATTTTAAAAACTTCACCCAAATTAGTTTTTTGTTGGCTAAAGTTTTAAATTTACAATTCATATCATACTTGCACATTTTCCTAACGAAATAAGCATAAGAAAATCTGTTTTCCTAGGTCTCTGTATAAAGTAGAAAGACTTGAAACAAAGACGAAGAAAACATTTGCAAGGCGTAATATATGTCTTGATCATGGGTCGAATCATGGCACGGTGAGGAAGCAACCAAGCGACCGAGCCATATCCCCACATGTCTTCTCTTAACTCTTTAAGTTAATTTGTTTTATGATAATTTATTTTTGTGTACGTGTGAAGTGCTTTATAATTTGACCACTGTAACCAAATTATGAAAACGAACGTTGCTTTCATTTCATAAGTTTTGTTTCTAATAACGTGCAAAGGAGATTTTAATCACAAAACAAAAGGATTAAAGGCGAATTAACGAATGACACGGTGCGTTAAGAATACCACATGACTTGGGCTAAGAAGCAAGCCCAACGTAGCCGACCTTTGTTTCCTCGTTGGTCCACATGCACGCGTTTTCATATTTTATCACTTTGGTGTTTTGTTTACTTGTCAATTAATTTGGTCTATCTACTGTGAAAATATTAAGTACATACATATAATATAAACATGTGTTACGTTTTTTACCAAAAAAAAAAAAAAAAAAACACATGTTACGTTATCTATAAATCTTTTTGTTAGTATTTAACCAAATAGTATAATCTTTTTTGTTTGTCATCAAATCATATAACCACCATAAAGTAAACCTTGAACAAAATTGCACATAATTATTTTTAACCTTATGTATCAACATAAAAATTGAACCGTTGAGAATAGTATGTTGGATTCATACCGTGAGACGTAAAATAGTGTACCAAACGTAATATCTTACTCGACTTTGTTTTCAATACTACATCATTCTTTTGGGATTATTGTAATACTTTCTTTTTTTGACATCTATCATATATAATTTTTGTATAGTTTTTTAACGAAGGAGAAAAATAAGAAATGTTAGGACTAATAAGAAGATGAATAATCGTAAAAAAATGGACCGTGGATTGAGAATCTTATCTATTGCTCTTTAGATCCCCTTTGGTCCACCTTTAAGGTTTTGGTTGGTGTTTCATAACTCGGACTATTCTAATCACAGTCTTTGTTTACAAAAACTTTCTTAATTGAAAACTAAAAGTACAATGAAAAAAAAGATATTAAAATATCATCACCCGTGGGTTGTTTACCATCATTAAAATGAACTTTTAACATATCAAATCTAAAATCTGCTAAAGAATATGTGTGTGATCTAATGATATCGAAATCAAATATCAAATAAAAAGTAGGACAACACTCGATTATTATATTAGAACATTGCATCCAACTAGTGTATTAAACATTTCTATGAAAGAAAAATATCTTTGAGTGTACGATTCTGTTTGGGCCAATTGCTCTTTAGACCTTAAATCTCCATTAAATTCGACACTTTAAAGTAGGTCTGAGCAAATAAACCGAACCGAATGTACCGAACCGAAACCGAAACAAAAAAAACCGAACCGAACCGAACCGAAAATTTGAAAATAACCGAATAGATACTAAATTCTATAACCGAAATAACCGTAACCGAATCGGTACCGAACCGAAATATTTTGGATAACCGAAATACCCGAAATACAATTATATTTTCAAAATAATTAGTTATATATAGACCAAATAATCAAAAATACTTGAAAAATATATAAAAATAGTAAAAAATATTCAAAAATAACCGAAATATATCCAAAAATATCCAAAAATACTCAAAAATAACCGAAATATCCGAAACTATCCTAAGCAAAATAACCGAATGGATACTAAATTTTATAACCGAAAGAACCGAAACCGAACCGAAATTTCAAAATATCCGAATGGATACTAAATTTTGAAACCGAAAAAACCAAAACCGAATGGACCCAACCGATAACCGAACGGTTAACCGAAAGCCCAGGCCTACTTTAAAGTGAAATTGTGAAGAGGGCCTAAATAAAGAATATTACTAGATTTCATAAACTTGGGCCCAATTGATAACGATTAGTTTCGGTCCATAGTAAAATCTATTTGTTATTGAGGGTTCAATTTTAAGTTCCAACTAAAATTTGGTACAATGTCCGTGTATAAACAAACCGAAATGAGCACATGTATAAACAAAAAAGATCAAAAGTGAGAGATTCATCATAAAATTGTGAACCATCAAATCATCAAAAGGAGGTGTGGATCCACAGTATGGAACTAATTTAGATACTATACAACTATATCTACAGTGAGATCAAACATGAACAATCCCAACACGATCCTAAGTTTCCATGATTCCTGTTTGGTTACTGTAACCCGCTGAGTGTAGTTGTATCAACTCCAGGATCAAGGCACTCCCCTCTAACTGTGGGACAATCATGTTGTACCTCGGGCATTTACCATCGGTGGCTCAGAGGTAAACCGACGAGGAAGATTCTGAAGAAGGCGAGGAAAGAGAGGAGGCTGCCTCCAACAAGACATACTTGAAGAGCTTTTTTCTTCTTTCTTGGGCTTAACCAAGTAAAAGACTGGAGACTGGACTCTAAAATTGATTCACCATCAAGGTAATACACCTAGCAAAAAAATGCTATCCAGATCAAGCAAAGATGATATTTACATGAGATTTGGTGTCGGATTGGATGTAAAACTTACCGGTAAGCTGTTCAGAAGAACTAGCGCAAGAGAGACATGGAATGTGCAGGTCAAGCTTCTTTCTAGAATATCCGGGAAGGACTTTCCGAAGAAGTTAAATAGCCAACGAGGTTGGTATGCGGTTAAATGAACTGAATGTGACATGGCAATCAAATCACCAACAAAAACAAACGTGCCAAGACAATTTGAGGTATTAAAATCGAGACCAAGTCTAGAACAATTCTGTGATGAGTTTTTTTTATAGGTGATCTCTGTCCATGATACGCCTGGAGATTGCATTGCTTGTAAACACGACTCACCCTGAAACATTAAATCATCAAATTCATAGAAAATAAAGTAACGCAATGATATAATCAATGTCTTGAGGGTATTCTCAAGCAATATTCACCTGTGGACATACGCAGTCACTTTTGCTATCGGTGTCTGATGTTGTCACCCATCCATCACCACATTTGCTAAGCTTGACGATATCCTTTGCATCCAAACAAACAGAAACCTCTCTCAGGGCTGCATTTGAGCATGGCATTGTTCGAAATGCAGTGAGATCACCGGGACAAACAAATTGGTTCTCAACCATATTTCCTTTCAACCCTTCTTCAATCAGAGAGATAGGGACACAGTAACCCTTCCCGTGATGAAATCTCCTTGAACCTCCAAGATACAAGGAAGCATTTGATTTTTCACTGTTTTCCTTATCCAAAATCGCTGCCAGTTCAAGCCATTCACTAGGTTTATGGACTTGTATGCCATCCAACGACACAATAACATCTCCAGGAGACAAGTAACCAAACAATGGCGACATAGAAGGCACATCCACAACCTATAGAATAAACTAAAGGCTTGAGAGTTTTTACAGAGTACTATTAAGGTTAACATACACTCAAAAGGCACAACAAACATACCGTGAGGCTTTCACCGTGTTTGTAGAACGGAGAAAACATAACAGGCAATAAAAACAACGCGAACACGCAGAGTGCACATAACTGCATAAAGAATCTCAAATCAAGAACTCTTCATATACAAAGACAAACAGAAAATTTTGAAAGAGAGGAACCAAGTACCAACCACAGCATTATGCCAAATACCGGCAGAGTAAATACGAAGAGCATTAAAGCTTGGAAGTGATTGCAAGACATCATTATCAAAAGCTACGAGACCTCCCGGAAATATAGCTGCAATGAAAACGGCAATGTATTCCATCTGTATTCCTTCACTGCCGCTCAATCAGAAGAAGCCTAAGAATTTTATAATCTGAGACTAAAGCTTCAAAAGGAACCCAATTTGGTTCACTCGAAATTTAACAAAAAGGAATTTTGAAGAACTGACCTAGCAGCAGCAAGAGCATGACCAAGTTCATGAACTGAAACAGTAATGACAGTGGAAACTAACACATAGGCAATGCCGGATAATGATACACGCTGCAAAATCCAAAGTAATTAGCTTTATTTCGAATTTGATAAGATGAGATTTTTTCTGTTTACCGTGGAAGGAGAGAATCCAAATACGGCGGAAGAGAGACGATTGGAGAATAATGGGTTTGGATGAAACTGAAGGAGCAGGAAGACGGTGACGAGGATTAGAGAAGCGACGCCGAATCCGAGTCCGATTGAGAACCAGACTTTCATCACTCCGGAGAATCGTCGTCCGAGACGGAAGATGGGTTCGTTCAAATTCGAGATTTTGAAATCGCAGTAGCAGCATGAGGCTTCGCTTTCAATGTTATCGCCGCCGGCGAGGTGATCTCTTCGGAATCTTCTCACTCGCCGTCCGGAAATTTCCATCGGTTGGTTCAGGTTTTGATTCTTTCTTACAAGATTATGGTTTAAATTAGAGCCGACCCTCTCCGGTTTAAATCAGACCGGATCGGTCCGGCTATTGACTGACATAAACAGCATAAAAAAGAGCCATTTTTTTTTTACAGTAGAACAAAGAGAACCATTAAACCATGTAAATGAAGCAAATTTGAGCTAGAACCGGAATAGTGCGATGCCTTCACATAAAAGAAGTCAAGATCAATGAGGTTCGAAGTTCGAATCGGATTCATACTTTTTACGCAAAGAACCTTTGACGTCATCAGAGAAATATTTCATTAAATTGATCAATGTTCTTTTTTTTTTTTGTTAAAAAATTGATTAATGGTCTTTTTGGATTTATAATCTTGGTTCATCTGAATTTATTTACGTTTTAAGCAATAAAGAGTCTCCAAAGAGAGAAAGAAAAAGAAGTTATTTCTCTTTTTTTCCTTAATTAAAAGGGGAATTATGATTAATGAAGAAGGGAAGGGATCTTCACCTTTTTTTTTTGTACACGAAACAAAAGAAAAAGAATTTAGGAACCCCCCAAAAAAAAACCAAAGAAGGAAAAATAAGAGTAAATATTAAAATAAAAATAGAGAGTAATTTCTCGATCTGCTGGTTCTTTGTCGGCCTATTTCGCACGCTCTTCACAAGCAAGCCACACGAGCGTCTTCATTTTTTTTTCTCAAAAGAGAAATCGAAAACCATACCCAAAAAAAAAAAGAAGCAAAAATTTACTCAGAGTCGGTGTCCAAATTCTCCATGCCTTTCAATCCTCTCCGTTTCTGCTGCTGCATATAATTCAATATAATCAGTTTTCATTCTTATTAATTATACAAATCATTAAATCCATTAATCAAAACTCAGTTGAAAAAACAAGACTAAAATCCAGGTTTGGACTGTATAAAACAGTATATTCAACTGATCACATAAACAATCAAAAGATCAAATAATTGTCACAATTTTGTTAAAAACACCATTTGGGTTTATTTTATGTCAAATAGTACAACTTTGCAAACAATTTTAAAATAGTAACAGTACATTATTCTCCATTAGGTGGAATAGTAGGTCCCATGTCTTGTCCATTTTGTGAATTCCATTAAAATACATATTTCTATGTTATTAATAATATTAAGGTCCACCCAATTTTGTCTACAACGCACCACCTTCTCTTCCACATATTTTCACATAAAATATTATGTAAATTATATATAGATTCATTTTATAAACACATATAATCTTACTTATTTAAGAAGAGTCTTTTTATCTCTTTTGTCATCATCACACAACTATGAACTAAGAAAATCTAAAGAAAGGGTTTAGTAAAGATAATTACCTTCTTCACATTTTTCTTCTCCCTAACTTCATAACGGTTCTTGGTCAAATCAGATAACCACATCCCTGGAAAACAAAACTGTCCAAAAACACACATATTTTCATTTATGATTTTTTTTTAACTGTGAGATAAAAATGAAATACTTTTTAATTAACTAAATGAATTTACCTGGAGGGCTTTATCAATGTTCTTAGCTCGTTTCCTGGGTCTATGAGGAAGCTTAGTTCCTTTCATAACCAAGAAATCTTCTTCCTTCTCCTTCCTAGACAAAGCAATGTAGATCCTTGGCCACTCTTGCGTTGCTTTCTCTCTTTCTCCATTTATCTCCACTTCTGGATGACCCTGAGCCGTTGATTCTGATCTGTTCACTCTTTGGTGTTGTTGTTGATGATGATGATGATCAAACCCGTTTTGTCTGTGATCTCTAACGCTTGATCTCTTCTCGATTTGGTCTGGAGACGGTGGAGATCGCTTTGAGCCACCCGATCTGGATATCATACGGCCGTTGATGTTGTTCCTTGATGGTGATCCGTTTGCTGATCGATCTTCTAGATTCCTGGGCATGATTGATGATTATGATGATGATGAGGAACAGCTTAATAAATCCACAGGTGATTTTTGGTATAATAAAGTTATAAACTTTGAGAGAGTTTAATGAGATTACGAAATGAAGAAAGATTTGTTTTTTTTTCTCCTTGTGTTAAAAAATAAGGAAGAAATTTAGAAAGGGAAACTAGTTGTACCCATTTACATATTTAAGAATCAGAATCAAAACGCAGACACACACACACACCAAAAAATAAAACTAAAGAGAGGGACCAAAACAGAAAATAAGAAGAAATATTGTGATTTCAAAACGAGTAGCCCAGATTTGAAGATTGGGTCAAAGAAAGGCAAAGAAAATTACGAGATCTTATATTTAACAAAAAAAAAACACAACAAGATTTTAGATTGAGAAAAATCGTTTATATTTTCACCCCAAAAGCTAAACAACAAGTGAAAAACCTAAGAAACAGAGCACTTGAGGAAAGGCAAAAGACACAACTCTCTGCTTCTTAGTGCTTCCAAGGGTATTATTGTCATTTCCCAAAAAGGAATTTTAGATCACCAAACTTTCGTTAAAAGCTTTAACAGAAGATGAACCAAAACGTTAGATCTCAAAAATGAAAACCAGAAAACGCAAAAAAATAATGAAAAGTATAATTGAATAAATCAAACCCGAAAAATTAAAAATAGCTTTATAAAAAAAAAATAAAAAACCAGTGAACAGTATTTATTATAAACATGGATGCACAAAAAGAGAAATATATGGAAGCTAATGAAGTCACGATCATAGAGATTAATTTACAGTAACAAAATCTAAACGATTAAAGGTAAAAAAAAGACAAATCAAACTCAATTTCTAACATTTGAGGTAAATAAATATATTAAAATATGGAAATTTTATTATATGGAAGAAGATTTGAGGCTAAACCTGGAAGGGAAGAAAGATTCCTTGCCGATAACGAAACCGTTTCTAGGGTTTGTACTCCGGCCAGAGAAAATCGGCGGAGCTGGTGGTGGTGGTGGCATGGAAGGATTCATCGATCTTCTTTGGAGCTTACTCGATTGAATCTTACCTTGACCTGAAGAAGACGAAGAATCATCGGCGGTGGTTGTGGTGGTGGTGGATCGGATCTCAGCTCTAGAGGCTCTCGATCGCTTACGTTGTCCCCACTGTAACAGTACATCTCCGCCGCGACGGCTAGGACTAGGATCTTGTTGTTGTTGTTGTTGAGTGGATCTGAATCGGAATCCTTTGGGGACTCCGTCTAAAGAGGAGGTGTTGGTGGTGGTTGTGCATGATCCGCCGTTAAATCCTCTTCCGGCGATGGAGGTTGTGGTAATAACGGTGGTGGTGGTGGTGTCTTCGTTTGTTGCTCTTGAAGGTGATGGTCGCAAGTATGGCTTCTTACCTCCATTTGTAAGAGGAAGACAATCTGGGCTTACTCTCTGATACCTAATCAAAAAAAAAAAACAAAAAAATCAGATCAAATTCGTGAAGGAAGATTTAACTGTGAAAATTTTGCAAAATGCGTCTGTGTTTTATGCGAGTTTTTAGAGTAAATCTTCTCAAATTTCTTCTGAGTTTGACAGAGAAGCCGATAAAATTCTCTGAACAATTTAGTTATTGGATCAAATTGAGATTAGTTTAAAACTGCTGTATCCAAAGAAAGCGAAATCCAGAGGAGATCAAAGGTTTTTGACATTAGAGTCAATATCAAGTTTGATTCAAATCAAACTCAGATCCATCGAAACAAATTATAAATCCAGAAAACAAAAGAGAAGAAGAAAACCGAATCAGTGGAAAATTGAAAAACAGAGAGAAAGATGGAAAAAACTTAAGAGAGAAGAAGAACGAAAAAGAAGAAGAAGAAGAAGAAGAAGAAGAGAAACCTCATCATTATACCCAAGTGAAAACCCGATTCGAATTATGTAATGGTTACGTTTCCGATTCCGATCTGTGATTGCTTTTTTTTTTTTTACAGAAATCTATGATTCGTTCAAATTCTTCTCCACACCCAATTTCAATTCCGATTAAACGAGGATAAACGAAACACAGCTTCTTCGTGATTCTAACTTTCTCGTACCGATCACCAAGCGAATCAGAAGGATTATAAAGAAGAAAGAGAATGAAAAAAAATAGAGAGGAAAATATTTGTGTAGAGAGGAGAAGAAGAGAAGAAACGGAGGCGCTCTGCGTTAAACAGTGAGGAGGAGGAAGAAGAAGAAGAAGGAAGGCGGAAGGGAAGGAGAAAGATAGTGGGTGCGTTATTGTGTGCAAAACTTCTTTTATTCTTTTTATTTTTCCAATCCAGTCCTTTTAGTTTCTGTAGACTTTCAATTCGCAACCACTTAAGTTTTCTTCTATTCACATAATAGTTCGTTTCGAGACCGGCCCATTATAAGGCCCACTAGATCCTCTTTCGCCGGAACTTGTGTGATTCAAAACGTCTCCGTACCAATTTTGACACTAGACCCAATTCTGATTGCGACGGTTTACAATACAATCACCACGAAGATTCGACCAAAACCGAACCAAAACTGAAACCAGTTTTAGTTAACCAGATTACAAATGATTTTATTTGATTTCAATTTCTATTAAACCGGAAATTAAACAGAATCCAACCAGTAAAGCGGATTGGCTAAGGGGTCTGTATCCAAATTGATTGATCTTGTATTGAAAAACTGGGAATCGTAAACCAAACAAAAACCAAACCGTAAGAGACTGATCGCCAGTTCTAGACAAAAGGGTCTGTATCCAAAGATTGATTTACTACAAAAGTTCAGAATATCAAAGAACAATATAATCCACCAGAGAAGTCTCCTTTATGATGGGACTGATAGCTAAATCTCGCCAGCTTAAACCTGTAGACCCTTATCCGTGCGCAGCATTGGTAAATTCCGAGTCTTAGGCTGATATAAGTTCTCTTTAGGCTCTTGTCCTGACTAGCGGAAAAGCCGTGGAACTGACCTTTTAGGCACTTTTCCTTCGAGCTTTAGTCTCCGATATGACTCCCTGATATGACAAGGTCTGATAGGTCCTGATTCTTTCCTTTCCGCCATAACAACTCGAGCTACATACAGACAATGTATTCAGATCCAGCAAGTGAGTTAAATTACAGAGTCTCTGTTGCAACATAAACAAATTCATTGTAAATTTTTCACACTGGCTTACCTGTTTCCACAAGTTCCCCAACAAACATCTTAGCAATACCACACACAACAATAATCATTGGCATACCAATCTTCTGACTCCCAGTGACACCTATCAGTAACTGCATCAACAGAAAGCTAAATGGTTCATATTTTGAATGAAACAAAATAAAGAATGTTCATAGCCACAGATCATATAATATATACCTTCTTCATTTGTGGTCTTTGAAGTGCAGATCTCCTAAAAGATTCATATCTACTCATCTGATCCTCAGTGAATTGTGACAAAATGGTTCTGAAGAATTCGAGTCGACAAACAATCAATCATGCTAAGCTTAAAAGGCATAATCAAATCAAGAAACCAGAAGAATATTCAAAATCTAAAAGACTCACTGCATTTTGGCCATTTTAGCAGGATCAGAACTAGTTGGATATTTAGTGAGCTCAACTTCCATGTTCTCTTCCTCTTCTTCATCATCTTCATCTTTGTTCTTAGCTTCAGTAACAACAACTGAGGTTTTAGCCTTCTTCATCGGACGGCGAACATCCACAGGTCTCTCATCTTCTTCTTGAGTCTGGTCAATTTCAATTCGTCCCTCTTCACTACCATCACCTCCTCCTGCTCCTCCGCCGCCGCCAACGGGTGATTCCGGTGGCGATTCCTCTTGTTCCTCCTCAATTGCTGCCTCAAACGGATCCTTTGAATGCTTCATCCCTGATAAAAACATAAAACGAAAAAAATCACATAAATGGGATCTCAAATTAGGGTTTCGAACGCAGCAAATTGCGACGGATCATTGACGAACCTTGAAGGAGAAAACTCAGAACCAATTTCAGGAGACGCGAATCTCTAGACCGTTGTTAACAACAACTGGGAGCTCCAAAATTTTCCAGGCGGAGAGGAGAATTCATCGACTGTATTCAATTTCAAGCTTTCTATAGGAGGTTAGAAGTCGGTTTAATCCAATCAATTCGTAGAAGCCGGTTTTTGTTAAACCAACCCATAATGTTTCGATCGTACCACAACATTGGGCTGGGCTCAGTTCAAAAACAACTGAAGATAAGAATAAAACGTAGCAATGTAGCATCAATATCGGATTTTTTGCATATAATGTTGGGATAACGATTTAGTACATATATGGATTTTTTTTAGCATAAAATGTAGACGAATTTTCCTAAATCGAGCTAAAAAAAACAAAAATATCAATGATAGAGAATATATGGATTGAATACAAAAAAAAACTCAAATTCTAAATTTTATGATTTAAAATATGTTTTGATGAGGGATTTATTCTCCTACATATTGTGTAATTACAAAAAAAATACGCAAATGTTTGAGTGATTTCGACTTTTTTTTCTATTGTCATCTTCTTTTTTTCTTCCAAATGAATCAAAGAACAGTTATCATTCTTTTAAATTTTTAATCTTTCATGTAATTCATAATTTTCTATCAAATGTTATATCCGTAAGTTATCCTTGACATGATATTTTATGATACGAAAGATGTAATCCTAACCCCATTTTTTCCTCCTCAATTTTTATATAAACTCATATCACCAAACCTTCATTACAATTCTAAAAAAAAAACTCTATGAAACACATAAAACAGAAAAATATATATTTAATTTTTATATATATAACATCACTGCATTTAGAAAGTATTAGGCTGTTTAGCCTGAGAAATCATCTGGACAACCTCTCTCATGGTCGGTCTCTCAACACTATGTTCTTGAACACATAGCATTGCCACAAAGAACAGTTCCATAGCTTCTTCTAATGGAATATTGCTCAATCTCTGGTCAATAATCTTCACCACACCTTGTCTGTTACAGTTGGTCTGAATTTTTGACCATTGTACAATGTCTATCCCTTCTTCTCCAAAGTTATCTACTGGTTTTCGACCCGTAATCAGCTCCAATAACACTACTCCGAAGCTGTACACATCGCTCTTCTCGTCTATTCTCAGTGTATATGCATATTCTATATTCAAGAAGACAGATAAAATGGGTTTAGATCAGTCAAGAGTTTTAGTTAGAAGTGAATATTTGACTTAATTAAGTGTTACGTGTGATACAAGAAAGGAGTATTAGGAATCAGTCATGTACCTGGAGCGATGTAGCCATATGAGCCTGCGATCGAGGACATACACTCTGAAGCTCCGTTGTCTTGCATCATAAACTTAGCTAGCCCAAAATCAGCGACATGAGCTTCAAATTCAGGACCCAACAAGATGTTGTTTGACTTAACATCGCGGTGAATTATAAGTGGTGAGCAATCGTGGTGAAGATAACACAACCCCTTAGCCGCTTCCAACGCTATTTGCAACCGCGTTTCCCATTTCAAGAACACTCCAGCTTTTCCGTGCAAGACTTCTCCGAGGCTACCATTAGGCATATACTCGTAAACAAGGAGATTCACGTCTTTGTTGGAACAAAAAGCGAGCAATCTCACTATGTTTCTGTGTCTGATTCTACCTAATGTCTGTATCTCTGCGGCCAAACCGTTGTCGTGAGATGATCCTTTGGTTATGGTTAAGAGCTTCTTGACTGCAACTTCTTCTCCGTTTGGCATTACGCCTTTGTAGACAATCCCTGCACCACCTTTACCAATCACATGGTTCTCTTTAACACATTCTAATATGTGTTCACTTCTGAATCCGAGCTTCTGAAACCCTGTAAGCTTCCATAAATTCGGGTTGTTCCTTCTCATTCTCCGATTCTTGACCACAGCTAAAACGACGAAAACCAAGAAAAACCCTAGTAGGCCTAACCCGAAGAACAGCTTGAATTTTGCAAAGATTTCGCCATGGGATTTTGTGTTGTTCTGGTTAAGTAGCTGAGATTGAGATTGGTTTTGGGAACCGTTGCAAGGGTTTGAAGAAAATCCACAGAGAAAAGGGTTTCCAAGGAATGACGTGTTGTTGAAGTAAGAGAATTGCCCTGAAGTTGGTACTGAACCGGAGAAGTTGTTGTGTGAGAAATCTGCTGATGTTAAGCTCTTCATGTATCCGAGTTCGTTGGGAAGGCTTTGGTTTAATAAATTCCAAGAAACATTCAGATAGTTTAGAATCCGAATCTGCGAAATCTGAACCGGAATCTGACCGGCGATCTGGTTATGACTCAAATCTAAGTATGTGAGTGACAGACAATCACCAAACTCAGGAGGAAACTTGCCTGAGAAGTTGTTTCTGCTCATGTCAATCTTGAGAAGACTCTTCAAAGTTCCGATTTCACCGGGGATCTGTCCCGATAACCGGTTCCCGCCAAGGAAAAGAATCTGAAGGCTTCTGAGGTTTCTGATTGAACCAGGAATAGGTCCGGATAACCGGTTGTTGGACAAATTGATCTGAGTAAGGCTCGAAAACCGCGCATTTCCCGCCTCTTCTTCGGGGATTTCTCCAGTCAAGAAGTTGTTTTGAAGCTCAAGAAGCTCAAGATTCGGCAAATAAATCAAACCCTTTGGCAATCTACTTGTCAGAAAGTTCTGTCCAAGACGGAATCTCCATAGCGGCTCACATTCGCCAAGATCTTCAGGGAGAGGACCAAACAAGAAGTTGTTGAATAGAATGAGAATCTTCAGTCTTCTTCCGAAACAAAGCGACTCAGGGATCAAACCTGTGAGCTTATTGGTAGACAAATCGATCTCGATCAACTTCCCGTTTGTTCCGAGTTTCGGAGGAATCGTTCCAGTGAAATTGTTGTGCCAAAGCTTGAGGATTTGCAGATCAGGAAGCTGAGATACGAACTCAGGGATCCCGCCGTGTAATCTGTTGAGAAAGAGATTAAACAACTGAAGCCTTTGAAGACCAGATAGCTCCAGAGGAATCTCTCCTTCAAGAAAGTTGTTGGAGAGATCAAGAGTCTTGAGGCTTGTCATGTTCCCTAACTCTCGAGGAACAGAGCCTGTAAGCTCATTGGTCTGAAGAAAGAGAACCTCCAAGTTCTTGAGATTCCCCAATTCTGCAGGAATTGATCCTTTCAAGCTGCAATTAGCCAAATCCAAATGAACAAGATTGATCAATCTCCCGAAATCTGCAGGTATCCCGCCTCGGTAATCGTTGAAGTGACCTAAGTAAAGCTGTACCAAAGTTGTGATGTTCCCTAGCTCGTTAGGGATTCTCCCACGGAGATCATTACCAGATAAAGAAAGAAACTTGAGACACAAGAAACTTCCATAGCTTCTAGGGATCTCACCGTCGAAGTAGTTTCCTCCAAGATCTAAGTGCTCGAGACGAGTGAGTGTTGTCAGACTGGGAGGAAGTGATCCGTTGAAGCTGTTGTCGTAAGCGTCAAGAGTCACAAGCTGCGTCATTTGACTGAGTCCACGTGACTCAAGCTCTCCTTCAAAAACATTGCTAGAGATGTTTAACACTTCGAGGCTAGAGAGCTCATA